AAATAATGGATTATGGTGGAAAACTACGGAAGCTTCCTTACCTTATGGAGCTAAATTATTATCAATTATTTTGTATTTGGATGCTACATCTCCTCTTTTCTTTTTTTATTTCTCAATCTCGTTTATTTCGTTCTTTTTTTTTTATTTCTCGATCCCGTTTATTTCATTTTTTCTTTTTCCTTCTCTATTTTTCAATCCCGTTTATTTCGTTTTCTCCTTCTCTCTTTTATTTCTCGATCCTGTTAATTTCATTTTTTTCTTTCTTTTTTTTATTTTTCAATCTCATTTATTTTGTTTTCTCCTCCTCTCTTTTTATTTCTCATCTCGTTTATTTCGTTTTTTTTTCTTTTTTTTATTTCTCATCTCGTTTATTTCATTTTTTCCTTTTCCTTCTCTATTTCTCGATCCCGTTTATTTTGTTTTCTCCTCCTCTCTTTTTATTTCTCAAACCCCGTTTATTTCATTTTTTTATTTTTTTTATTTCTCGATCCTGCCTATTTCGTCTTTCTCCTTTTTTTATTTCTATCATTATGGCTTTAGTTGCTCCTGCTGTTGCCTCATTCGAATGGACCATTGACGCTGCAAGAGAATTAATTCGACTTCAACGCGAGAATTATGACTATTTTGAGCTTGTTCCTAATAATTGCCATGAAAGAATATGAAGAACCATATCCAATCAATTGTTTCTTAATAGAGGGTTCGCCGCTTTTTCCTCTCAATATCATAGGAAATGATACTCGTTGAAATACGGGTACGAAAATCTCAAGAGATTAGAAGCTGAGAAGAATTTCCACGACTAACCAATAACAAACCCAACACTGCATGATCAGATATTTTATGCAGAGTTAGGTGATGAATTTTGGCTTCGAACCGGTAATTATTATTGAATAGTAGTAATAAGAAATATATTTTTTACTTTTTAAAACTTCAATTTTTTAATTTAATTATTATTTTTATTATTTTTAGACGTAAATCATCATCGGTATAGAAGACAGCATGTAGATCGCCGCCGATACCAGTACTGATATAGATCTCATTCTCGCTGGAATCATAGATCCTATTCTCGTGGTTATTCTCAGGATCATATATTCCATTCTTGTAGTCGTTCTCAGGATTGTAATTCCCATTCTCGCCATCATTTAAGGGATCATAGATCTCATTTCCGAAGATATAGAAGGAAGTCATATTCTTCACGAAGGAGAAGTTATTCACCGATGAGGCATTAATTTTATTTTTTTTATTTTTTTATTTTTATTTTTTATTTAATAATTTTATTTTTATTTTTATTTTTATTTTTTAATCTAATTTTTATTTTAATTTTTATTTTTTTATTTTTTTAAATAATTTTTTTTTAATTTTAATTTTAATTTTTTAATTTTTTAATTTTTTATTTTTATTTTTTAATTTTTAATTTAATTTTTATTTTTTATTTTATTTTAATTTTTATTTTTTATTTTATTTTAATTTTTATTTTTATTTTATTTTAATTTTAATTTTTATTTTTATTTTTATTTTTATTATTATTATTATTTTATTTTTTAATTTTAATTATCGCAACAAAATAACAATATCCCTTCAAATCTTGATAAAGAAAAGCAAAAAGAAATGTGATCAAATGAAGACATTTACAAACAAACATTTGAAGCCAAAGAAAATGATAATGAAAATGCGAATGCGAACAACTTTACGATTATTGCATCACCAACGCACTTTTATGCGTCTACTGATTCAAAAGATGTGAATGGTTCATCTATCGCTGAGAAATATTACACCATCAACAAATTATTCAGCCATTTCGACGATTACAAGGAGTCATACTACAATATGAAACAAAGAAAATTCTATATTTACTTTCAAGCCTATGACTCCCTAACGCATGCAACTGAAAAAGTCAAAGAATCACAACACAATCCAATTTTTTTGGTAATAAACCTAAACGCTAAACAACAATGAAAGGATGATGAAAAAGGACGCTGCATAAAAGTTAATGACATACCACTTTTCGTTAAATCTGATATTGTCAGAAATTGTTTTGACAAATTTGGAAGGATCTGCAGGTTTTCCATGATCACAAAGGGCTCATGGCAAATAGCGTTTATCGTATATGAATCTGCAGATATAATTAAAGATTTCTATGACAACAAATGGTCAACTTCTTTATTAGAGTTCCTAGTTAGAGTTGAACCAACTGACATTAACGAACTACAAACTGCGCTAAGACAACAATTTGAGTTGAAACTTACAGGGCTTTCTTACAATACATCTCATTTAGACTTAGCTGATTTCTTGGTACACATAAACGCAAAATCATGTTTCATTCCTAGAGATCGTCAATATCATTTACGTCAATACGCTTACATTAATTTTGATAATGAAGATGACTATGATATCGCTTTTAACTCTCAACAAAAGTTCAAAACCACATATTATATTGGGTTACACCAGAAGTATATCATTGCACTCAGTGTGGGTCACCTGATCACGAAACAAATAACTGCAACGTACGCTCAAACTAAAATCCTTTTAAACCCCTCTATGATCGCTTTAGATCTGCACAGTACTGATCCAAACCTAATCCATTCAGACCTCCTAATTCAAGTTCAGACTCAAATGGAAATCGTTCTTTCAAACCTTCATATATAGATACTATTCGTAATAACACTGATCAAATCGCAGCCAAAAATGTTCCTGTTCCTAACCAACCTTTTCTAATTAAGCAAACGTTACCAGACCAAACCAGTTTAAATCAAATTATGGATAACCTTTCAAAGCTGAAAAATAAATTCAAAACTCTATCGGATGATCTCATTGCTATGAAAAATATTAGTAAAGAATTGCAACAAGATCAATTGAACCTCTTCATGCGAGTGGAAAATATAGAACAACTCTGTCATATTTCCCCACTGGATCAACAAAACAACCTCAAACAACCCATTCAATTTATGAATTTAGACAAATCTGAATTAGATAATAAATCACAACCTACTCTTTCCAACCATCCCAAGTTAAACGAAAACCATTACTATCACATTGTTACGTCCGATTTGTAACTCAAATAAAATTCTCAAAATTAATAATGCTAAGACTAAACTCAGGGAATCACAACG